AATAATGAAAACATTAAATCGTACGTTTCCCTACGTGTTTTCTCACTTAATTCCTTCTATTTAAAAAATAGTGCCGGAAATCAAAAAATAACTTGTTTAATGTTCAATCTAGACAACTTGAACTTTCAGAAAAGGTGCTACACTTATAGATCGGAGCAAGTTTACTAGGAAAAAACGAAAAAAAGAAAGAAAGATATTAAATAGCATTGTAAAACCAATAGCTTCCTCGTTGCGTTCGGAATCTAAAATCAATGAACTGTTTAACTCCTCCTCGTGATGATTTTCAAAATTTTTTTGTTTTTTTTTTTTTGAAAAGACGCATTTTCGACGCTGATTTTGAAACATTTTTTTGTTTTTTTTTTTTTTTTTTTTTCGGAAACCACACCTATTAAATAAATTAAATCCATTTGAATAATGATTTTCGGTTTTATTTAGAGACCCAGCAGTGTCGAGATTTTAAACTAAAATAACCCTCGATTTGTTGTGCGAAACCACGTCGGGTAAGCAACGGGGGAAAAAACAAAGACTTTAACGTATTTCTAACGAAAATAACCTTCGATTTGTTGTGCAAAACCCTTTCACGTTTCGCGCTGTCTGATAATATCCGTCAATCGTGTGCGTGTACGGTTCCGAGCGTGGTCTCCCTCCCCTTGGTTAACTTTTTGATCAGCCACTACCGTCCATAAATACTCGTAGGTTCGCGATAAAATAATTGTCCTGTATGTATTGCATTACGTGTAACAGTGAGTCGACCGATACGATTATCAGTATACCGCCGAACGAGTGCTGGTGCGGCAGACACGTGTAATGAGTAATATTACGAAATGCAGTAAAGTTTTCGGCAGATTCTGATCCCTGCGTGTGACCCCGAGAACGTTATCGATTCGATGTTTTACGATAATATCAAAGACTAGAGAGCTAAAGCTGATAATCTCTCAGCTACAGACTGCGCTATATTATAAAATATAGTGGGGCGATGACAATGATGTACGTTTTTCGAATACTAAACGGCTCGATCCGGATTATCGAGGCGCCCGACGTCCGAGCAATTAAATTCCTTTTTTTCTTTTCCACCTCCGGAGCAACGCCGACATCGAGAAAACGCGACACCCATCGCTGTTGCCGACCGCTCCGAGAGAGTCCGCGGCGTTTTGTAAATTCCTAAATTGCCGGGAAAATCACGACGCGGTAGAAGAAAAGCGGAAAAGCGGTCCCCCCCCACGAGTAAAAACCGCGTCGCCGTCACGTCGCGGGACGAACAAAAAAAAAAAAAAAAAAAAAAAAAAAAACAATCGTCCAAAAATCGACATCGGCGGTGGAATCCGGCCGCCGCGGACCAGCGTGTACGCACTGCAGTGCACGCGCGCGATCATAACGATACCGCGCGATTTTAGCCCGCGCGTCTCTGCGCGGACGAAATAACGCCGCGTTGTTATGCCGCGCGGGTTACGGCGAAACGAGAACGCATTAAACACGCCGAACACGTTGTTATTGTTACAATATATATATAGGCGTGTGTGTGTGCCTGTGTGTGTGTGTGTGTGTGTGCCTGTGTGGGTATGTGTGCGTGCGCGTGTGTGTGCGTGTGCGCGTGTGTGTGTGTGCGTGTGCGCGTGTGTGTACGTTGGTTACGGCGATGTTCGAATATTCCGGCGGACGGCCGCGGTTTAGACACGACGTTATCACGCGGTACACAATACGTATGTATCTGCGTACCAGTTACCGGCGTATATACGCCCGCGCCCGGTGCATGGGACGGCAATAGCGCCGCGTAAACCGTCCGCGTACCGCGCGCCGGTACCGAACGACGAGGCGCGCGGAAAACCGAACGCGGGCCCCCGGGGTCGGTCGTCGCGGCCGCGTGCCCCCCCTCCCATCCCCGCCCCGCACGCGCGCGCCGCGACATCACGGAGATGCGACCGATGTCGTTGCCAGGGCTCGGATCTCACGGCCTTCGCCCGTCGCGTTATTGTCCGGACGCGCGCATACGAAAACGGCGCAGAGCCGGCCAGGCACGCGTTTTGTTCCGTGGGGGACCCCGGGATCGGTATGCGATTTTATGTTCGTTATTTTTCGCGTGTTTGAATTTTTTTTTTTAGATTTTCAGTACCGTTTTTCATACTTCTTCGCTAATATACGCGTCGTAATATCAATACGTATACAACGATTTATTTCGTATTTTTCGTGTTTAACCGTATCTCCAAGATTTGTCTATTTACATTGCGAGTCCATAAGAAAAATACCAACGACATTTTCATTTCATATTTCAAGTAGCCGTGCGTATTGCAGTTTACATTTATTACTTATTTCGATTGTACTTGTGTACTTAATATTAAAAAAAAAAAATAATAATAAATACATTTTCTTTTTATCCATTTTTCATGCCGTAAAGGCATACTGTAGTTTATTTAAAATTTTTTAGGACACATTATAGCGCTTATTTCAGTTATTTTCAGTGCTATAAAATCCGAGCCCTGATAATCAGAGCTATTATCTGAATTATACGATATTGTGACCTGTGAGTATGGACCGTATTATACGTACAGGGTGTCCTACAGGGTTATCCACGTCATGCAAATTACTCTTTCGATATCCGTTATTATTATTTTTTTTTTCAATCGGTTTTCGTATCGAAAGGACAAGAATGTAGAGAAAACTTTTATGTTCGTCCTTAGTTCGCTAAAAAAGAACATTATATTCTTACTTTTTTAAATGTTCAAAATAGCTGATTTGCGAAGAATATATTTATCCTGAAAATGTTAACGTACCGTACCCGATCGATAGTATCTTAGTAATAGCGCCGTTTTGAACAAATAACTTTTGTTTGAGCTTCCAATACGACTTTACAAAAATCGGAATAAATATTCTCAGCTCGGATTCGAAAGAAAAAAAAATACCTAAAACAATTTTCAAAACTGAAGTAGGTACACGCCCAACTTGTCGATTAGTAAACAGATTTGCGTTTCCTGTGGCATCTGTTACCGTTCCATTTTGAACACCAAACAGGCTCACTTTGTAAAATTAGTCGGAGAAAAGAAAATTAGTTTGGATTCGTCTGGCGTGTTGGTAATAATGAAATATTGAAATTCATGCAATAGCTATTTCGCATGAATTTCCGTAGTAGGTACGTGTGTATAAATCGGTTGCTTCAGACTGATTTTCTGTAAACATTTTACCTGTCTGGTCAGTGTTTATTTCGGGAGAGTGAATATTACCCCACGCAGAAAAATGTGTACCGCCCCCTAAAAGGTAAATGGCATCATTGCGTAAACTACACGTAATGTGATGTGTGAAATGAGTTGTGAGTCATTTTGTTGATAATAAATTTTAAAAAAAGACGACATACTTCGCACGATGGGTGGGCCACTATTATAGGCTAGAACTTGGGAAAATAAAATATAGAGGGGAATTTAATGTATGTAAACGGTTAATGTTTGCCAACGAAAAACGATTCTGAGCGAAGTGCAGTTGATAGTGACGCTCTTTCAACAATTTATAAGTCATATATCATGGTAAAATAATGAAATAGGCATCGTATATTTTCTTTAATAATATTTGTTTAATGTTGTACAGATTTTCACGATTTTTACCTAAGTTTTTTCAATATATTGAGAAAACTTCTGAGAAAATCGAAAAACGACCATCTCTAAAGTACCTCCCCCCCAACCCGATTTACTTTCAGAAAATGTACTACACTTAAAAATCGGTGAAAGATTTTTGGTAGAAAAATTGTCCACAGTTATAACAAAATAAAAAAATAAATAAATAAATATCGTTGTAAAACCTAACCGAACATGGTTATACATGTTTTTAAAGGCCGTAATATTTACCTATAATTTTTACCTATATCATTTTTTTTTTTTTTTTTTTTTTTTT